AAGAGCTGATCTCAAAAGGGAGAAAGAAACCTTTGCTCGTATCCAGAATACAGTGGTGGCATAATCTTCTCCTTTCTTGTTGGCAATTAGTTCGGCGAGCCTACTCTATCATTATTATTATTATTACTATTATTATTAGGAGAATCGACACTTCTCGAGTGCTATGCCAATCCCCAAATGCTTTAAAACTGCACAAAGCACTGCAAGCAAGTTTTAGATAGTAATGATGCAACTGAAAGTGCACGCGCGTTCTGTGTGCTCTCATAAAGCACGCGCTTCCTACCAATCAGTACGGGAGATTAATATATAATAGTTATTTTATAATGGAAATTAATGTTTAATTTTTGAAACAATGGAAATTAATTTTTAACATTGCTGTAAATCGTAACGAAAGAATTTTTTTTAACGTTAACCATAAAAGCAACCTACAACCTACCCTCTACTTGCCAATACATTTCACGTCTCCTGTGCATTCATGCAGTCGAGTATAGGTTTAATTACTCAATAGTCATAACCATAAAAAAATATAATACTTACATCAAGGCTATCACTGAAATCACAGTAAATCCAGATTTCTTTCATCATTTCCTGTTGTGTAAATGAGTGTCAAAATTAATTAAGGACTCCTCGAAATACATTCCCAATCACTGTTGCATCAGTTTTCCCAATGGAACTAAAATCTCGTCCCACAAACAACTACTGTAACTACTCAGCATCATCAAGGCATGGCTCTCAGATGAAAAACTGTTTAGCTATATCATAGCCAGTTTTCTACGAATCTTACCCAAACTTGGCAAGTTAATGTCTTTTGTGAAAAGAAGGAACCTTAAAGCCTTGGTTGCCATGGAAATTAAGTCACGTGACAACCAGATCGCCATCTTGGATTTTTAAACAAGCCTTTTGAAGTCTCTATTTTTTCCAAAAAATTGAAAATATTCTAAAAATTAAACTTAATATAATTTCCAGGATATCCAATTAGATCCATATAGGCTATGCAAATATAAAAAGGAATATGGATTTTCAGGACTTTTGAAGTAGTTTCAATAGGACTTCAAAAGGCTTGTTTAAAAAATCCAAGATGGCGGCCTTGTGGTCACGTGACATGGTTTCCATGGTAACACATATGTGGTAATTGCTTGCCTTGAAGAATTACTACTACGAGCCAAAATTGGGAAAGATTCATTATAAACTGTCGAAGATATGAATAAATAACTGATTTTCCATCATTTCCTCAAAAGAGCCATGCCTTCATGGTGCTGAGTACACAGTATCTGTTTTAAAGAGTACTACAAGGATTACCAGGCAATTTTCTATTATTTTCGCAGAACAGTTTATTGAAACACTTTATAATGCAAAGATCAGAATATAATCAATTTTCCGCGATCAGAGTTTTCAATTTATGAGATATTCTTAGTCTAGATAATTCAATTTGTTAAACTTGTGAGACATCTCGATACTACTGAGCCTGTCAGTGAGGCAAATAATTGTTTTAGTATTTAATGTCTTCAACATCGTATGTATTTTGGTAGAAGTCTGGTGTACTTTTTTATGTTTTCCTGTAATAAGTGTGTGCATTCCGACCTAATTCAGTTGTGAAAGTAAACTATTTTAAAGGGGCAAAGAGGTTTTTTTTTTCTTTTTCTAGTTAATTATACATAAATAAGGCCACATATACTGGCTTTGTTTTCTTTACCTGATATTTTGCATTGCAATGTACAAGGTCTTTGCTAGATATCAATTTACAAATTTCCCTCCATAGACATCTGCTTCTTTCTTTAGATGAAATAAGCCATTTACCCCTGTGATAATTGGTAATGTTGTATTTTCTCTTCAAGCTTTGCATGTCATATTTCTGATTCAGTGCAGAAGTAAAAGTAGAGCCTCCACTTCTTTTTGAATAGGCAGAACGCATACTTTCTTTAAGATTTAATGTCCTCCCAGAACATGTTTTAGCCTTAAATTCTGGAGTTGAATGAAGTTTCGTTTTGTTTGAGGAACAGGTAGATGAGCCAGAATAGACACACCAACGCCCTCTATCTTTTTCTGCAGACACAATTAGAGTTTTCAGGGAATTTGAATTTAAGTAAAAATCACCAAATATTGGAAAATTTCTGCTGCTCTTTAGACTTGTTCTAGGTTTGTGGTTTTGATTGCCAAAATTTAAATACTGATGAAGGCGTGAATGACTTTTGTAGTTGATTTGACCATCTGCTTTGGGTGATTGTCCATCAAGGAGTTCTGAAGTCGTTGGTGGTGTATACTTGAACTTAAGCACAGTATTATTTTGTTCCCCTGTGAACAATAAAATACATCTGATACACATAAAATATATAACATTTCTTTTGGACAGCTTTAGATAGATAAAGATTAATTTATTTTAGGAGAGAATCAATTTTTTAGGAGGGGGATGAGGGTTGGGCTGGAGGAACCCCTATAAATTTGTACATAAACCTTTTTGATCCCTGATCCCATAAATATTCCCTTGGTCCCTGAATGTATTCATATGAATCTGATCCCTCTCCTGTGATCCCTGATTCGTAGTATGTGATCCTGATCCCAACCATGTTTTCTAAAGTTTTACAAAACCCAATAATCCAATAATTGCTTTGTTTTCTTTGACATGATTTTGGTATATGACAAAACACACACCTCGATTAAAAAAGTGACCACAAAACACACTGTTTCCCTTGTCCCAGTCAATAAGTGTTAAATGTAAAATCCCCTTTTCTTCTGTCTGCATAAAAAGTGACCTTCCCCTTGAAATTTGTTGAATTCTCCACCCTCCCCTTTATGTAGAATGGAATATTTAATGACCCCCCTCTTTGACTGAGTAGAAATTTAATGGCCCTCCCCTGGATTCCTAAGACCCAACCCCCACTCCTAAAAAATGAATGCCCCTGAAGAAGTAACTTATTCAGCCACTAGGCTGGTATCCAGAGGGCCCTGTATAATGAAAAAATATTAGATAACTAAACAAATAAATAAACACCTAATCAATTAAAAGAATGTTGTAACAAAAAAATGGTTTTAAATATCCCTAGATTGATGAAAATAACTATTTTAGTTTATACTAAGAAGATAATATCTTATTTTAAATGTCAGTCTCCCTTTCTAAGCAGTGAAAAAATAATTAATCCCCTATTTGTTTTTTGTTTTTTTTCCCAACAAGGTTTTAAGTAAAGCCATGCAGAACCGTGTCAATACGGTCAAAACGCTAAATCAATTAATAATTATTCTGAAATATTGAATGATGAATGCTTTTGTATCATTTGAGCACAATTTCATAACTACTGTCTGTTTTTAAACTATGTTTGAAAATTTCCAAGTTGGTGACCAACTTTGAAACTTAAAACAAAATTCATTATGAGCTTGAAGTATGAAAAAACTCTGAACTTGTTTCTGATGTTTACGTATGGGTTAACATATTTTGTTAACATATAGCTTTTTTGAAGAGATAAGACTACATATCGATAAATTTTCCACTGACACTGAACGCAAAATTATCTTAGGAGATTTTAACACAATTTTAGATATTGAGCTACAGTAGATTGCTATGGGGGTAACCCCAAAAGGAAGAAAACAGTACCAGTAATTGAAGATCTAATGAGCACAAATGATCTAGTTGATATTTGGAGAATACGTAATCCCTAAAACAAACGCTTTACATGGAGACAAAAAACTCCTCTCTAATACAAAGACTCAATTTTTGGCTTGTAAGCGACTCTATTCAAGAGGATATAGTATCTACAGATATAATAACTGCGGTCAAGACTCTTTTACCACTCAGCAATAGTACTCTCCATCAATGGACTAGAAAACTACAAAAGAGGCCCTGCTTTTTGGAAATTTAATTAAAACTTACTAGATGATAAAAACTGCGTCGAACTTATTCACAAACAATTCCGTGAGTGGCTCGACGAATTCAAGGACGTAACAGACAACCGCTTGTTGTGAGATCTAATTTATATAAAATAAGACAAGCATCAATAAATTATATAAGAGTAAAGCCCGCCATAGAAGAGAGAAATTAAGAAAGCTCGAAATAGATCTTAAACATAGTGAGGAAAACTGTGCAACAAATCCTTCAGTGGAAAACAGAGAGCATCTAGATCATTTAAAAACTGAGTATGAACTTGCATATAGCYWCATTACCCAAGGAGCAATTATTAGGTCACACATTAATTGGTACGAAAAACGAGAGAAAAATATAGTAGTAGTATGCAACTTTGAACTACATAACACTCCCTCTATCTCTTTCTAAGTTTTACTCAGATTGTTTTGAAACTTGGTGCTGTTTTAAAAAATCACAAAGAACAATTTCCCTTTTACTCAGACATTTGAGTGGCAAAAAAATTACCTTCTTCCTTATAAGGTTGCTCTGTATTCAAAAACTAGAGAATTTCAATACAAATTTCTGAACAGATTGGTTTACACAAATAAAACCCTTTTTAAAATGGACATTGTACACAGTACACTGTTCGTTTTGTGTAGAAGAGGAAGAATCCCTAGAGCATTTCTTTTACAATTGCAAACATACAAAATCCTTTTGGGAATCAGTGCATCAATT